GTACCTCCCCCATTGCGTCAGTGAAGAATGGCATGGCGCGTGCCTCAGCTGCACTTTCCAAGTGGCTGGCACGTAAAGTAGTGCTCCTATGGTGCGTTGCCGTTCTGCTCTGTGTTCGCGCACGTCGTGGAAACTCTGGAACGCGTTGGATAGCGCCGCGATGTGGTCGGGGCGGTCTTGCATGAGTTGACAAGCCAGTGGTGGTCTAGTTGCTGCCTGGAAATGCCTTAATGCTTGTTCTGCATCGTGATGTCGGTCCGCTATGGCTGTGTAGAATGCAAGGTGGAGCTTGCGCGTGCTCTGGTCGGTTGATCTTATTGTAAGGTACTTTGCGGTGCCACTGTGGAGCTTGCGTAGTATGGTAGCATGGCTCGTACTCATGTCTGGTTCTAGGACCTCTGTGGCGCGCCGCCTGAGCCGCATAGACTCAATGGTCTTCGCGGCGATGTAGGCTTGACGAGTGCGAAGCCGCCTTTAAAGAAGCATTATGCTGCTGCTGCGCGAAGCGCGTTGGCGGCCAGCTGGCGACGCTGGTTGGCATGGGCGCCGCATGGTTGCAGCGGCTGGCTGCCGAGTAGAATGGCGAAGAGGGCTTCCCTGACAGGATTTTGCATACCCGCTGGGACATAGGGGGGCAGTTACCTGCTTTTCGCTCTTGCACGTGGTCACTTCTGTTCGATGGTAAGGTGGACAGGATAGTGGCATCCGTTTTTTGCTCATGAATCATGGTGGTGATCGGCGCATGGGTCAGTGATGCACGTTAGCCAGTCGCTGGCACGCGCGACGCAGTCATTACCATGCTTAGTCAGCTTCCCCTTGACCTGTGCAACCGGCGCGTGCGCAGGCGCGCGGTTAACATCTGCGCGGGTTCATGCAAGGCCGTAGACTGCCATGGTTAGTCGCACTTGCGCCGCATTGTCGCGCCCACCCGGTTGGCGACGCGCCGGCGGTGCCACGTCGCAAATGCCTGGCGAGCTCTTGGTTTTGATTCGTCCGTTGGACTATGCTGGCATGACTGCAGGTGGCCTTTTGTCGGCTAGGCCGTGGACAGTACCCCGCCGCATGCGGAAGCGACTGAAACCGGGCGGTTATCCAAGACTTACTTCCGGAATTAAGTCGGCCCGAGTCCGGGGCAAAGGCCACCCCGCGGAAAAACTTAACTCCGGAGTTAAGTCGCCGCCAAGGTGGCGGACGCACCAGCTATTACACGAATTAACTCCGGAGTTAAGTGATTCCCACGCCGCGCGCCCCAGCCAGGCACAGACTTAACTGCGGAGTTAAATCGCCGCGGCATTTGGTTGGGCGCCGCGACGATTGAGAGGACAGGAAGTGGAAGAGGACGAGGAGGGCGACGACGAGGAATATGAGGAGGAGGAGTGAGGAGGACGAGGAGGAGGAGGAGGAGGAGGAGGAGGAGGAGGACATGCTAGGTGCCTTCGCGTCATATCTGACATCCTACCCACCCCTCCCATCCCTAACCATGGCGTAGATCGCCTCTCTGTTCGCGCAGTCGGATGTCGAGCAGGGCAATGATCCCGAAAGGGTACGCGATGCATTGTAGAGCACGGCGTGGCATGGCGTAGAAGAGCACCGCAAAGCGTAGCATGTCACAGCATGGCGCGGCGCGGCGCGGCGAAGACTTGCATCACAAAGCTTTGCAGCGCAAAGCATGGCATCGCACAGCGGCCCCGAGCATAACATTGCATAGCATGGCGTTGAAGATCTAAGCGTAGCCTGGCATAGCACGATGCGGCACTTAAGCGCTGCATATCACAGCTTCAGCTGAAGGCATGGCATCGCGCAGCGGAACGCAACCTAGAATTGCATTGCACGCCGTGGCATGGCACGGGAAATGACGCAAGCGCTGCAGCGGGAGCACGATTCGGAACGAGCGGAAGCGCGGAAATGAGGCCAACGCTGCAGAGGGAGCGCGATTCGGAACGAGCGGAAGCACGGAAATGAAGCCAGCGCTGCAGCGGGAACACGATTCGGAACGAGCGAGGCCCGAAAATGAAGCCGGCGCCTCAGCGAACGCAGCACTTTGAAAACACATGCAGGCGAAAACGCAACTCCGGGGAATCCTGCGCGTAAACAAACAGCACGCAGGGGGGGCGGGGGCGAACTTTCCCAACCCGTCATCAGGGGAAGGAGGAGAGCAGCGTTCATATTGAATAATTGTGGAGGAGGAGCAGGAGGGGACACATCAGGGCACGGGGGGCCGAACGCCGCAGGAGCGCGACTGCGACTGCTACCTCTGTCCGCCACGCGCCCGGGTCGGGGCCGAGCTCCACCTCGCCCCCGCCCCCCCTTCCCCACGCGGGCGCGACGCGCAGGCTGCTTCCCGCCAATCGCAAAGCAAAACTACGGAATGAGCGAGGTGCACCGACAACGACGAAGCATGCGAAGAATCTTGAAAAAAATCAAAATCAGACACGCTTCGATGCTCGCCGACCTCCGCCTCCCCCTGCCCCCCCCTGGCCCGACTACAAGGGCCCTGGGCGCTGGGTCCGCTCTCACTTCCGGCGCCTCTTCGGGCATGGCTCGTCGCCTGGCCCGGCGCCGGGCCCGCCGGCGCCGCCGCCGCCGCCCGGGGGGGCTCCGGGGGGCGGCGCCGCCGTCGCCCAGGGAAGCGCCCGCCGACTCCGCGCCGTCGAAATGCAGCTGGTCGAAGCTGCAAATGCGGACGGCGGGCCGCCACCTCGGCGCGACCAGCGGGCGCGGAGCGGGCGACGGCCGGGGCCGGCTGCGACCCCCCCCCCCAGCAATATATGCTGGAAGCTCTAAAACTTGTCTGCGTGCCAAACCTTCCAAAAGAAATCGCCGAGGGCCCCAGTGTCTTGAGGTGCGTCGGCCAAGCCCGACTGAATTTGGCCATAGTACGCGAGGCGACCAATGGGGGGCGGCGCGCTGCGCGAGGACCCGCGGCCGCCGCAGCGACGCGCTCGGCACGCGCGAATCCACGGCAAACTAAGCCAGCCGCAACGACCCGTCGACGCACGTGGGCGGCTCAATGTTGCGGCAGCAGGCGCCCACGTCGCCCTCGACGTCAGAGATAATGACCTCGGGCGCAAGCGGGGCGGGCGGGGGGGTCTCGCACGCCCCCGCCCCCAGGCGCGCCTGACGCCGCGCGCGCGCCCGAATCGCAGAGCCCGCGAGAACCCTGCCGGCGGCGCCCGCCCGCGGCGGGCCGATCGGCGCCCGCTGGCCGCCAGGCGCTAAGACGGCGACGACCGGCCTCATCAAGACCGCGGCGCACGCAGTGGCCACCAAATGGTCCGCCCAGGAACCGGGCTTCCGCACGTGCGCGACGCGCGCGTCCACGCTGGGGAACTGAGCTCTGTTGAGCGCGTCCTCGAACGTGCCGGGGAGGCTCGCGATCCAGTTCGTGGCTGGGGGCGACGTTTTACAAGCGCAGGGGCCCGTGCGGGGGCGATGAAACTCAAACCCCGCCCGCGGGCCCCCCCCCGACCGCTCGGGCCCAGCTGGCGGATAGATAGCGGGGGCAGGGGGGGGGTCCGCCAAGCGGAGGGCAGTCCTTCAGCTCGCAAGCCCTCGGCGGTCAGGCCGACCTCCTCGCCGCCCCTCCTGAGCGCCTCGATCAACGCGTGGAAGAGACACGCCCCGTCGCCTGGCACTCCGACCGCCTGCGATGTCAACTCTGGGACAGCGGCGGCAATCGCTGGGGCGCAATCTACGCGACGCAACTACAGAGGTGCAATCTATCCGGCGCACTGCAATCTAAGCGGTGCAATGCAATCCCCGCGGTGCAACCTAGGCGGCGCGAGCTATGCGTCTCGGCGACGGGCGGCCACAAGCGGCGACGGAGAAGTAAGGGCACCTGACTGCGCGCGTGGATTGCACCCGCCGAAAGGAAATAGGAACGCAAGCACTGTTCGGAGAATCGGGCAGCCCGCGAACGGGCGCCCAGCCAAATGAAAACGCGCAGACCTACATCAGGGCGCATCGGCGCGACGAGGCCTGGAGGCCCCACTTCGCCAAGCGCTGTCCGATGAGTTGCACGCTGGCCGCGTGGCGACGACCTTGCTCCCCCTGCTCGCTCAGGGAGAGCGCCTTGGCCATGTTCAACTGCAGGGCCTCCCAGTCAGAGTTGCACATGGAGCTGATGCCCGCCAATATTGCCTCGAGGACCGTGGAGCTCTTCGCCATCTGCGCGCGCTGCGGGCAGAAATTGCACGACGCCCGCCGCTTCCTCCTGCAGCGGGCCTGCGCCGTCTTCCAGCAGCACCTGCGGGGCGGGGTGGGCGGGGGGCCCGGGCGCCCCGAAGAGCAAGGGGGGCGCCCGTCGCCCTCGCACTGCAAGTTGGACGAGAGCAGCGGGACGGCGCCTGGTGACGCCGCGGAGCCGGGTAGCTTGCACGGCGGCGCCGCCGGGGCCGCTGGCCTGCTCGCGGCGGGCGGCCCCGGTCGCGCCTGCGGCGCGGCCAAACCGCCCCCCCGCCCGCTTCGACGCGCGCCCGCCAGGATCGGGGCGCCCCTAGGGGGCGCGGGGCGAGGCCGATGGGGAAGTTGGCCGCGCGGCCTGAAACACCGCCTTCATCTTCTCAGACTATTTGGGCGCATTCGAATGCTTCGGCGGCTGGGGGGAAGAGGAAGACCCCGTAGCTGCGCGCGGCAAACTGGTCGGGAGCGGGGCCGCGCAGGACCCCTCTAACATTTTCTCGACGAACAAGGAGTGCTCACTGACCCCCCCGCGCTTCATCCAGTGCCCGCGCGAATCGATGGCCTCCCCAGTGTCCGTCGCGTAGACGATGGCGAAGAACGCCCTCAAGTACCGATGACGGTTCATGGAGTACCCGTTCTGGCCCAGGCCCCTGCAAGGCGCGAGCGGGGCCCCGCGGCGCGCCGGCCCCCTGGGGTTGAAGGAGCCGACGCCGCCCGCCACCGCGCCCCCCCCCCCACGCCCGCCCCCCGCCGTCGCGGCGACGGCCGCGACCCTGGCGCGACAAGGGCCTGGGCTGGCCCTGTTCAAACGCCGCGTCCTGTCCCTCGCCGCCTCCCTGACATCGGAAAAAGACGTCGCCGTGCCAAGCTGCAGCGCCGCCGGCGCGTCCGCCTTGCGCCCCTTCGCCCAGCTCTGGTGGAACCTCGGCAAGACGTGCACGGAGGTGGTCTGGGCTGCGACGCCGTCGACGTTTAAGACGACGTTGCACGCGCTGGAGAGGTACGCGCCGTCGCGGCCCTCCTGCTGGAAGTGGGGCATCATGTCGTGGCGGTTCAGCCTCGCGGGGCGGGTCGTCGCGCCCCCCTCCCCCTCGCTGACATCTCGTTCACGTCTGCTCGCCACCTGGCGGCGGCCCTCGCCAGTCAGCGAAGGGGGGGGGATCTTGATCTCGCGGCGCAGGGACTTCCAGAGACCAGCGTCCTTCCTCGACGTCATCATGGCGCCGATTCCGTCGATCAGCTCTGGGAGTGACTTCGGGGCCCCCGCGCAGCAAACGCCTTTGAGAGTCCGCCAAGATCTTTCAATTGTAGACGTCGCGTACGTCGCAAGGCCAGGGGGGGCCTGCCCGAGCCCGCAGCGCCGGGGTGCGGCGATCGTTCCGTCTGGACGCACTGTAAAGATGTTCGTAAGGAGGTAGTCCGCCATTGCGGACTCGCCCCATTGAAACGACTCTTCCCCGTCCTCCCTCAACCGATCGAATATCTCCGTCCACAGCACATTTAACTCCAAGTCGCTCTCACCCTCGCCCCCGACGCCGCTGTCGGGGAGGCCGGAGGAGAATTCCATGAAGTTCTTGATGGGATGTACAAGGGCCGTGTTCTTCATCCGCTTCACGCCGCCCCCCTTGTCCAACATCTCCTTGCCCTCGTCAGCGACGTTCCCCTTCACGCGCTGCAGGCACCTGCGCAGTCGGATGCCACGAGCTTTGCACAGGGGGGCGGCCGCGCCCATGCACCGGCAGTCCATGACGGCGTGCGTCGTGCTGATGCCAAGGCGGTCAGCGATCTCGAAGTAAGCCTGCAAGAGAAGCTCGGAAGCCTCGCTGCCCTCGGTCTCCGAGGCCATGAACAACACCGGCAGGAAGCGCATAGTCGGGAGGCCAGTTGCTTCGTCCACGTGGAGGCCCACGGGGCCAACGGCACCCACGAGCATCCCGTGGCAGTTCGTCTTCCACGTCCAATCCATCAAGAGCCACTCCAACCTGTGCTCGGCAAGCAACGCCTCGGAGACTCCGTGGGCGAAGGGGATGCGCAAGTTCTTTTTCGGTCACAACTGGCGTCTGCTGACCTGTCTTTGCGTCGACCATGTTCAACAGGTAGATCGGGTTGTGATCCTTCTTCAACCAGTTCCTCATCTCCCCGATGCAAGCCTGGGGGGAAGGCTAAAGCTAAAGGCGCAGCAAGGCGCCCGTCGGGCGCGATGGGCCACGGCCATTGCCCCCCTGGGGCACGGGGGGCGACTCCGGGGGCCCCGCGCCCACAGACGACTTTCCAGCGCACTGTCACCCTGCTGGCAACCACGGGGATTCTGGGTTCCTCGGGCTTGCGCGCCCTGGCGTTCTGCAACTGCTTGAGATCCGGTCTCTCCTTCAGCGGGACCTCAGTCTCGTTCCATCTGGTCGCGCGCCTTCACGGGAGACATTCTCTGGGCGCACTCCTTGGCGCGGTCGAGGATGCGGGCGTTCGACGGGGGCGTTGGGCAGCACTCCCCTTTCTTCTCGACGACGAGCACTAGGCGGCCAGTCCCGCGGGGCGGACGGAAGGAGAAGCACCGCTGGCGGGCGCGCCCTGCGCAGTTTTTGCACGGCGCATCCACGGCTTTGCGCCCCTCGGCCGTTGCGTTGCGCAAGTGTCCCTGTCGACATCCGCGGAGCTGGTCGGCGGCCTCGGCTGCGGCCTCCCGCAACTTCGTCGTGTCAGGGAAGGATAAGCGGGCGTGTTCGATCCATCCTTTCCTTGGGCGACCCGGGCGCCCTCGCTTGGCCGGGGGGGCGCCTGCGCCAGAGTCCTCGGGGGCGGGCCCGACGAGGGCGCCTTCTGGCGCAACGGGCGCAGAAACCGGCGCGGACTCAGGCCCCTCGCCGGATTCCTCTTGCGCAGGAAGAGGACGTTCCAGCGTAGCGGGCGCATGAACCAGCACGGGCTCGGGCACCTCGTCGGTCTCTTCGTGCACAGCAACCAGAACTGGCACGGGTTCAGGCACCTCGTCGGCGTCTTCCTGCGCAGGAACAGGAACTGGCACGTGCACCGTATCCTCCACAAACTCCTCCTGCTCCAGGAATCTAGTCGGGTTCTGTTGGCCGAAGCACCCCGCGAAACCGTCTGCTGCGAGGATGCCCACTTCCACGAAACCGTTTGGATGCCCTCGGGCCCACCCTTGCAGCATGTGCTCGTAGACATCATCGGGGTGCACGTCGATCACTTCCACTACCGCCCCAGGCGCGTCAGAGTGCCTGCGCATCCACACGCCGCGGGTAAGCACGGTGGAGTTGACCCAGAAGATGAGCGCCATCATGTAGGACGGCATTGGGATTGCAACCGGAGCGATACAAGAAGATCTCGGGGCAACCGGGGTGAGTTGGAAGCCTTTGTCTTCGAGCCACACGGACAAAGAGGGGAGGGGAGGGAGGATTGGGGAGGAGGAAGAGGAAATCAGGAACAGAGGTAAACATGGATGGAGCATAAAGCTCCGCCATGGGCGAGAGACCAGCAGAGAACGTAACCTGGGGCGCCAGCTGTCTTCGTGATCACAGGCATCCCCCCTCCAACTCTCCAACGGCCCCAGAGGGGGCCCAAGAGGGGGAACACGAACCGACAATTCGAGCCTTCCGCCCAAAGAGGATCCCAGGAGGCCCCAGGAGGCCTCCATCATCATCATCATCATCATCATCATCATCATCATCATCATCATCATCATCATCATCATCATCATCATCACCAGCATCATCATCACCATCATCAGCATCATCATCGTCGTCATCGTCATCATCACAACCATATTCATATTGATCATCATCGTCATCATCACCGTTATCACTAGCATAATCATCACGATCATCATAATCATCATAATCATCATCATCATCATCATCATCATCATCATCATCATCATCATCATCGTCACCGTCGTCCTCATCATCCTCATCATCATGATCATCATCATCACAATCGTAGTATCGTCATCGTCATCATCATCATCATCTTCGTCAGCATCATCATCATCGTCGTCATCGTCATCATCGTCGTCGGCATCATCACCACCATCATCATCATCATCATCATCGCCATTATCATCATCACCATCATCATAATCATCATCATCATCGTCATCGTCATCGTCATCATCATCATCATCGTCGTCGTCGTCGTCGTCATTGTCATCATCGTTATCCTTCTCCTCTTCCTCCTCCTCCCCCTCCTCATCATCATAAGCACCACCACCAGCACCACCACCATCATCATCATCACCACCATCATCATCAGCATCATCATTATCATCATCGTCGTCGTCATCATCATCCTCATCATCATCACCACCATCATTATCATCATCATCCTCCTCGTCGCCGTCGTCGTCTTCATCATCATCATCATCATCATCGTCATGGTCATTGTTATCGTGATCGTTATTATCATCAGCATCATCGTCATCAGCATCATCATCAACGACATCATCAGCATCGTCGTCACCGTCAGGATTGATGAACAAAGGGGCATCCTGGGCATCGTCATCAGCATAATTGTCATCACCAACTTTCCGAATAGTTGCCAGGGCATCCCATTGCGGGGATAATGCGAAATCCCACGAGCCCGCTGGGCGCAAGTACAACACGGGGTCATATATGATCCCGGGCTCCGGGCCCGTCATCATCATCATCATCATCATCATCCTCATCATCAGTATCGTCGTCCTCGTCATCGGTATCATCATCAGGGTGGCGGGGTAGAAGGGAGGATGAGGATGAGGAGGAGGAGGAGAAACAGCAGCAGTGAGGAGGAGGAGGAGGAGGAGCAACAGCAGCAGGGAGGAGCAACAGCAGCAGGGAGGAGATAGAAGAGGGATCCTCCTCCTCCTCCTCATCCTCCTCCTCCTCCTCCTCCTCCCCCGCCTCTCGTAGGGGCTCGCAGCCCCGGCTCTTCTGTGCCGAGTGGCCTGAAACTGCGCACCCTTCTCGGACACTAAGAAGGAGCAGGAAGAGGAGGAGCATGAGGAGCTGCGCCAGAGCAGCAAAAGGAGGGGGAGGAAGATGAGGAGCAGCAGAGGAGCAGGAAGATGAGGAGCAGCAGCACGGGGATGAGGAGAAGTAGCAGCAGCAGCAGCAGCAGCAGTCATCATCATCATCATCATCATCATCATCATCAGCATCATCAGCATCATCATCATCATCATCATCATCATCACCAGCATTATCATCATCACCATCATCAACATCACCATCACCATCACCATCACCATCATCATCAGTAGCATCATCATCATCATCATCATCACCATCATCATCATCATCATCATCATCATTATCGTCGTCCTCGTCATCGGTATCATCATCCGGGTGGCGGGGTAGAAGGGAGGATGAGGATGAGGAGGACAAGAAACAGCAGCAGTGAGGAGGAGGAGGAGGAGGAGGAGGAGGAGCAACAGCAGCAGGGAGGAGCAACAGCAGCAGGGAGGAGATAGAAGAGGGATCCTCCTCCTCCTCCTCCTCCTCCTCCTCCTCCTCCTCCTCCTCCTCCTCCTCCTCCTCCTCCTCCTCCTCCTCCTCCTCCTCCTACTCCTCCTACTCCTCCGCCCCCGCCTCCCGCAGGGGCTCGCAGTCCCGGCTCTTCTGTGCCGAGTGGCCTGAAACTGCGCACCCTTCTCGGACACTAGGGAAGAGCAGGAAGAGGAGGAGCATGAGGAGCTGCGCCAGAGCAGCAAGAGGAGGGGGAGGAAGATGAGGAGCAGCACAGAAGCAGGAAGATGATGAGCAGCAGCATGGGGATGAGGAGAAGTAGCAGCAGCAGCAGCAGCAGCTCATCATCATCATCATCATCATCACCATCATCATCATCATCATCATCATCATCATCATCATCATCATCATCATCATCATGGTCATGATCATGATCATCATCACCATCGTCATGACCATAATCAACAGCATCATGAACTTCATCGTCGTCGTCAACATCATCCTCCCCTCTCCGCATGCCCTCTTGCCGCCTCCTAATCTTTCTTTTTTATGTGCAGAGGGTCCCCAGTGCAAGCGGCCTCAAACACAGCGCGTTGCCCAAGAACGCTGGGTAAACCAAGGACACACAGAAACACCACAACTGTTGCGCGCACCGGCACGCCACGAACGCTACGTGACAACGGAGGGCCGCATGTCTATGGACGAACCAGAGCCAAAAAAGCAACAACAAAACAAATTGGCGCTAGCTTCCCCTAATTAGGGACACTGAAAATAAGGCAGTTTTCGTCGTGCCGAGGACGCAATCGTTCCGCCCCGGCTTTTAACCTGCGGGCGCACGCCAGATTGAGCGCGCACTTGACTTCATCGGAAGAGGCCAGCCCAAACCGATTACGGCTGTTATGCACGATTACAGCTTGGCACCTCCCCTCCGTCAAGTGTAGCAGTTTTACGTCATGCCTGGGACGGCGATGCATATGCCGATGCCGATGCCGATGCTGACGCTGTCGTCGCCGTCGCCAGCGCCCGTGCCGCCGTCGTCGTCGTCGTCGTCGTCGTCTTCGTCGTCGTCGGTGTCGTCCACAGGGGGGCCACCACCCCCACAGGGGAAGGGCCACCACGCGACGCCCACAGGGGGGGGGGGTGGGGGCATCGCGCGCGGGGGGGGGGGGGGGACCCGATGGTATTAGCATTGGAGTGGTGGAGGGGGGTGCCCAAGCCCTGGACCATATATTCCCTCCTCCTCCTCCTCCTGTTTCTCCCTCTCCTCCTCCTCTCTCCCTCGTTCCCCTCCCCCTCCTCCTCCCTGCTCCTCCTCTTTCCTCCTGTATCCTCCTCCTCTTCTCGTCTCTCTCCTCCTCTCCTCCTCCTCCTCCTCCTCCTCCTCCTCCTCCTCCTCCTCCTCCTCCTCCTCCTCCTCCTCCTCCTCCTCCTCCTCCTCCTCCTCCTCCTCCTCCTCCTCCTCCTCTCCTCCTCCTCCTCCTCCTCCTCCTCCTCCTCCTCCTCCTCCCTCCTCCTCTCCTCCTCCTCCTCCTCCTCCTCCTCCTCCTCCTCCTCCTCCTCCTCCTCCTCCTCCTCCTCCTCCTCCTCCTCCTCCTCCTCCTCCGCCTCCTCCTCCTCCTCTCTCCTCCTCCTCCTCCTCCTCCTCCTCCTCCTCCTCCTCCTCTCCCCTCCTCCTCCCTCATCCTCCTCCTCCTCCTCCTCCTCCTCCTCTCCTCCTCCTCCTCTCCTCCTCCTCCTCCCTCCTCCTCCTCCTCCTCCTCCTCCTCCTCCTCCTTCCTCCTCCTCCTCCTCCGCCTCCTCCTCCTCCTCCTCCTCCTCCTCCTCCTCCTCCGCCTCCTCCTCCTCTCCTCCTCCTCCTCCTCCTCCTCCTTCCTCCTCCTCCTCATCCTCCTCCTCCTCCTCTCCTCCTCCTCCTCCTCCTCCTCCTCCGCCTCCTCCTCCTCCTCCTCTCCTCTCTCCTCCTCTCTCCTCTCTCCTCCCTCCTCCTCCTCCTCCTCCTCCTCCTCCCCTCTCCCCCTCCTCCTCTATTCTCCTCCTCCTCCTCCTCCTCCTCCTCCTCCTCCTCCTCCTCCTCATCCTCCTCCTCCTCCTCTTCCTCCTCATCCTTCTCCGTTTCCCCATAGACGCGATACTTCAAACATGCGCGTATCTGCTATGCAGTGCTATGCTATTATATGCGATGCTACGCAATGCTATGACTCAAAAACCAATGCAATGCCATGCTATGATATGGCATGCGATGCTATGCGATGCTATGACGTGTTATGCAGTGCTATGCGATGCTGTGATGCAATGTGATGCAGTGCTTTGCTCTGCCATGGCTATGCAATGCTATGCTTTAATATGCTATGCAGTGCCATGCTATGATACGCTATGAAGTGCGATGGAGGAGGCGGCCACTACCTTGAGTACCATTGAGGTCAGCCCAGGCGGAGGGCGGAGGAAAGTTGGCGGAAGGACGGCGGAAGGGCGGCGGAAGGGTGGCGGAAGGGCGGCGGAAGCGCGGCGGAAGGGCGCTGCGGCGGCAGGGCGGAAGGGCGGCGGAAGGGCGGCGGAAAGGTTGCGGAAGGACAGCGGAAGAGCGGCGGAAGGGTGGCGGAAGGGCGGCGGAAGGGCGGCGGAAGGGTGGCGGAAGGGTGGCGCAACGACGGCGGAAAGGCGGAAAGGCGGCGGAGGGCGGCGGAAAAGCGTTGGAAAGACGGCGGGTTTCCCGAGCCGTCACGGAAGGATTTCCATGGAATTCCTGCAAATCCTGGAAATAGAAAGACCAGAATCCAGAAATTGAGGAAAAGCCGAGACGCCAGGAACCCAGGAATCGTTGAAATTCGAAGATTTCCTGGGATCCGTAGAAATC